AATGTGCCTTACTAGATATTTGCGCTTACTAGATATGTAACTCCTGAGTTGCAGACGTTCATAGGCAGCGATGGTAACTTTCCATCAGGTGACCCGTCTGCTCGTCTGCCCCCTCTAACATAAAAAAAATGAAAATTTACGGACACATTGATAGTATGTTCCTAACATACCATAACCATAAATACCTACCATACATACCATACCGTACATATCATAAATTTATGCACTATTACCTGCACGCAGACATATTATGGCGTCTTGTTTGGTTGCAATTGCGTGTCCCGCCATTTTTCCATAGATAATTTCGTAAATTTTCCTCCATATCCATTCTGACATGACGTGTCTCAGACATCGACTTCGATTTATATATAACGGAATAGGGTAATGCATTTTACATTTGCTATTTGCATATAGATGGACATAAGGATTTGATACCACTGGTTATGAAATACTGAAGAAAAATTTGCAACCATGATATGTTCGATTTAAAAAACCCTTTGACGAATCACGACTAAATAACACCGATTAGATTTATCGATCAATAAATTTATTCAGAGTTTTAGGACTAATCTTGATTACTTACGAGTTAAGTATTGATAAGTAAAAGGAGGTGCATTTACTTACTGCTATTTTCCTACATGAAGGTTATACTCCTGTTTCATAGAAAAACAGGTAATTATAAAAAAAACAACATCTTTTTATGTTTTTAATATAGATTTTTTACTGCTACCGCAAATGATATAAAATTAAAAAAAAATTGCTATTTCAAAAAATTGTAAAATCAACTATCATGCTTAATAAATGACAAATCTTAACAGTTATTGGACTTTATTTTTTACCATGTTTAGATTTATACATTTTTTAAAGTCAATTAAAAACATATTGTTATTTCTCCTGAGGAGCAATTTATAGTTATCTGACCGCCATTAAATTGTTATATTATAGACTCTGATGCCAAAGAGCTCTACTGTGCGATATTGACATAGTTAGGCTTCAATTTTAATAAAAGATTCTTGGTTACGTAAAGTTAACTATATTGTCATTTTATTGCTTTTGTAATTACTTAAAATGAAAAAAGAACTTTGAGAATTCTTAAGAGGTACTTCAGAACCTGAGGACGTGTACCTCATACTTACGAATCAAATACATACCTCACGCCATTTATGGGAACGTAATAACAGGTTTAAAATACTTTCAACTTATCAGATCGCTATATTTTCATGCTACCCTCGAATAACTTTATGCGGTCGGACCTGTCATTCTTTACTCAATTTATGACTATTTGGAATGTTCTTGCAATATTACTAGCGCTCGCTCAATAAATATTTTTCTACAGCTTTTAAATTGTGGTAGGTACTCAGCTATCTTATGATTCGCAAAAACTCTCTATTTCGATCTGTTAATAAAAAAACTAAAAATAAAGAACAAGATACCTTTGTAACTAGGACGGGGAGACGACTAATATAATAAATTAAATTGACCTCAAAATTTTGTCACAAATCGTCGCGTGTGTCCTGTGACGTCGCCGACGCGTGGACACCGCCAATGGGGTTATTGACATGTCAAACTATTTCCGTGGCGCCAAAATAAAAGCGCGCGAATCCATGGGGGCGGTCATCAGCGACAATAAAGCGCAGGCAACGCTACCAGACGTCCACAATTACGATAAACAGATGAAAACAATAAATTGAAGCGTCGGCTTGTGGCCTGGGACGGTCTCGAGTTACGTTTTGAGCAAAGGAACGTCTAAAATTACCCCGCACGCACACACCAAACACGCTGCCAGTCGGTATACACCAACACAGCAGCGCCGCCTATATCTATTATCAAAACATCCAGCGACTCTGGTTACAGCGATCCGAGCGCGCTTCGGATATCGCATTACACACTTTAATGGCTGGAAAAGGCCTCGAAAACGTGATATTACACGCGTTTTATTGTGTATCGCAAAATGTAATTAATATAGTAATATAACACCGAATAATTTATTCAGCGTAACCCCGAGACTGGAACCATTGTGGAGGTCCCCTTGCAGATCACGATGAATAAATATCAAATTTAAAAATACGATTCGGTCGTCTCCTATTACGAGAACGGCTGAAACAGGCCGCTTGCCAATAAGACGAAACCGTAACACGATGATGGTTTTCCAAAGGAAACTCACGTCAATGTCAGCAAAAATATTTTAAAACAAAATCTTACCTTGATTTCTTCTTCATTTTCCTTTTTTACTTGTGCCTTCGGCGGTGATGAGGGGTTACTAGGTGTCTTACTGCCCATATTTAGCAATAAAAGTCCACTAGATACTATGTTTAACGAATATTACACATTAAAATTATAAAATGATTATTTAAAAGTTTTCTCGTCTAACTTTAGCGATCGCGTAAACATTACATTATGCGTACTGCTACCACAAACTCACGATACGTAACATCCGCGCGGCGTTCGCAGCGCGACTGACGTTCCTCGTGATTGGTCGCTACAACGGAGCACAATGAAAAAGCTCGTTTTCCCGCAAGCAGTCGGACCTTGGGCGGAGCTTGCTGAATGAAAGAAGCTTTTTTTTTTTTTTTTTTTTTTTTTTTTTTTTTTTTTTTTTTTTTTTTTTTTTTTTTTTTAATAAAAATAATATAATTTTATTACAATTAACCTATTTTGTGTGCTATTCTGCGACTTTGCAGTTTTGACAGGGCCGGATTAACCATTAGGCAGAGTAGGCAACTGCCTAGGGGCCCCGCATCGGTTAGGGGCCCCGCTTTTGCTGTTACTTCCCGAGAAGATACGCATCAGTGATGTGATGCTGCTGATGCCATTACTCACAACTCTTCATCGATTTACAAATAGCTGAATCTTTAAAAAAAGGAGCTCCGAGGATTGCATTGCCTAAGGGCCTCGGCGTGAGTGATCCGGCCCTGACTTTTGGATTGACCTTATTTTCTTTCATACAGTACGTATTATGTATAATTAACATCTTGCGTTACCCTTCTACATATATTATTATGTTACCCACGGGTTACGTTTAAAAGCCGTAATGCTGTAAATTAAGGAATTTATTTTCTAAGACTTGGTATGAAGTCTCTAAAAAGTACCCAATTTACGTTTTAATCTAACTTACTCCTAAAACGGCTATAGATTTCTTTATTTAGTAACATTAATAAACTACGCAAAAGCTAGTTTTAAACCTTAGTAATATTTATTACCATATTTTTTTAACTAATACCTATAACCCCTCATCCTCTCCGGACTTTTGCTTCTAATAAATTTTTCGATTTGTGCACAAACTATTAACTTTGACGTTTAAAGTATTTAATTAAATAATCAGGTCATTCAGCTTCTTGATACAATGTTTCTAGTTAGAGTGAAATCATTATTATTCTAGTAATTCGTAGTTGGAATTTCCAATCACATCATTCAATGCTTAATTTATTGTATCACGATATAATAAAACAACTAAGAAGCTTAAGATAGATTTTATAATGCAATTTTACTTGATTTAAACAAAAAAAATACAAGTACCTAGCAAAAAGTTGAAGACGGTTTTTACTGCATAACAGCTATAGACGAATTCGTTTAATAACACAATGTAAAAGTTTTGTTCTTAAATTACAAAAATAGTATTTTTGAACTTTTATTATGTGGCATAAAGTGCCATTACGTGCTATGTATTAGTCAGCCTTCTCTTTTCACTGCTGTTAGGGTACTGTAAAGTATACGAGTAGATAGGTAACTGAGTAAAGCTCATTGAGTTGATTAAAATTTAGTAGATCCAAATAAAAACGATTATGATTAGATTTTGGTATGTGCTTGGTAAATACTTTATTCCTATTTTTCTATAATTTAATTTTATAATTTTATAATTATAACATGGAAATAATTTGCTAAATTATATAAGCATTAAATTATGACATACCTACCTATGGTTCTTTAGGCTAGCTAAAGGAGGGAACTATTAAGCAGTCAATTATGATGTTTTGATGAATTCTGGTGAGACGCGCAGTTGTCACGGATGGCGTAATGGGACAAGTCATCGTTATATTACGATGCGGCATTTGTTGTGAGTTCAATGCCGGTACGAAAGTAATATTAGCGTAAAGCCATAAACAGAAGTTCCTTTCTTAGTGATCTATTTGTTCCTTGTTAGTGAAGTCCTTCGATACACAGGAATAACTCAACCCAGCAATAAAAATGATGTCTTGAAGGAAGGAGAAAGTATACTACTTCAGTTGTCCATCAATATCTGTTTTTGGTCATTGTACAATATATATACATACAATATATATATATTATACAATACATAACAGACTAATACTAAGACATATTCAGGTATGCAGGTTGAAGTTACTTCTTTTTATTATAGTTACACGAAGAGATCTAAATATAAACTAGAATGTTATTGAATTGAACTGATTTCAGTTACACTTTTAATATTATTTAAAAGTAGCTGTACTCTTCACCGCTTTACAGTGGCACATTGTGATTGCATTGATGTGAATTGAGGAAACAAAACTGACGCAAAAAATGAAAAAAAAGCATCTTTGAAGTGAATTGTATATCGTGTCAAAGTTTTAGCTCAATCGGTGCAGAAATTTTTAGGTCTTTGAAGCGTACACAAACCAATATAAGTTTTTTATATGTATAGATAATATGACTTTTTATTGGTGTGTAAAACGGAACTACCATTAATTTTCTGTACTATTTGTTTCTTTTGTCTATCTTACTGCTTTATTTTGAATTGTTACAATCAAGTTAAAGTAAGTTATAACTTTTGTCTATTTACCCTTTTACAAAAAGTAAAAAACACAGTTTCGGAACAGAAAGCTGGGTGTCAGATACAAGTAAATGACTTAAATGATTTGACGTGACATCTTCGTCAAAAACAGCTGACTGGTAGAGGTTATTTTTTCCTTAATAACAAACCAAAAGTGAAAACTTATAATGAATAAATATTTTTGATTAAAGAAGAAATTAATGCGAAATTTAATTCTAAGAATAATCAAAGTATGTCCTCGAAGCTGCCGAAAACCGCTTTGAATTTGAAGCAGGTAATTTGTTTAATTCACTCCGTGTGGTGACGGATTAAGAATACAGAGTGTCATCACCCCTATTCATCCCGTGGGTGTCGTAAGAATCTCGACTAAGGAACAAACTACGCAGGGCAACGGCACTGCAAAGAGAAGAAAAACTTGAAATAAACCCTATACCAACCTGTCTGCTAGCGTGTTATAGTAGGCCAAAACCTCCTTTCTAAGGAGAGGCCTATCTCCAGCAGTGGACTAGTAAAGGCCGATGATGATGATGAATTTGTTTAGCTCATTCTAAACTTGAAAAGACGCTGAAAACAAATTACCAGTACCCGACTTGGAATGATGATAAAACCATTGTAGAAAGACGCCATATAGTAAACAAATTAAAGGTGCCTTCTATTTAAAACGAAAATACTTTTACTACAAATTGTATATCCCTTGGTTAGCACATTTGCAAATTCAAAAAAAAATTAAGGTAAATATTAATATTTGGCAATAGAAAAACTGTTTCATTCAATTAATCAATCAACAGTCTTTAACAGTCCACTGGACTGAGGCCTCTTATCCTATTACATTAGTTATTTTTAAGTAAAATCTGGCTGAAAAGTCAAAGTTAAGAAACAGGTGGACAAACTGTAGCAGTAATATTTGATGTTACAAGTTATCTCAGAATTACAGTTTATCAAAACTGCTCTTTAAATATTTTATTAATATTTGTTTTGACAGTTTCTCCTCCGTCAAGAAGTTCTCAAGCTCTACAGAGATATATTTAGGACACTAAGAAAAGTCAAAGACGAAGGTACAAGAGCTGAACTAAAGGAATGGGCTAGATCAGACTTCAGGAACAATATGCATCACATCGATAAAACTACAATAAAAGCTATGTTAAACCATGGAAAAAAATCTTTAAAGGATTTGCAAAATTCCATGGCATTGAGCAACAGTTAGTATTGGTAGCAGTGTAATGGTGTGCTCACAAAAATCCAAGATTTTAAATGTTCAGATTACATTTGTAAAAGGAACTTCAGAACTTAATTTCTGTTTGTTGTTGTAGTAGTGTAGGTAATCTAAAATAAAATGGTGTTAAAAATGTTGAAATTATTTAATATACAAAATTTTAATCAATATTAAATAACAACAAATATATACTAAAACTTAACTAGTATTGCATTCTATTTACAATTTATTATAGTTCAAAATAAGAAATTAATATAAATTAAATATTTACAGAAGTTTTAATTTACTGTTGTGTTCACTGAATATCATCCAGGCATGGGTGAGTGAACCTAAATAAAAAATTTAAAAAGAAATCTTGAATACACAATATAGGGCCTCAAATAGAAATATCATTGCCTCACACTAGCTTAAGCCTTCTCCACTTTTCACCATGATTAAAACATTTTTGAACAGTATTATATTAATTTTATATTAATACCTAGGTGTTTGTTCTACTATCTATACATTCTAACTATGAGAATATCAGACTTTGTATTGTTTTAAAATAAAGACTATTAATATCTTAGTCACCCTCAGAAATAGCTTTATAAAATAAATAAATAAAAACAGGTACTGTCACTCCAGTGCCAACAACTACTGTAAATACTGTGAAAAATGTTATAAAATCACCATTTTTATTTAAATGTTTGGCCAATAATTGAATTAAACTCCTTGCTATATGGTGACCGTCCATACCATAACAAGGTATCACATTTATAAAGGCTATGCCTAAAGAAAATAAAACTATATATCTTAATAACTTCTCAAACTGTGCTGGTGAGAAAAATGAAAATAGACCTAATCTGGGAAAATACTGGTCAATGAAAACAGTCTTATGCAAGTCATATGGCAACCCTAAATATAAGACAGCATGTTTATTTTCTCTCTGTATAATTATGAGATATGTGTGGTTATTTAATGAAGGTTTTAGGCAATGAGTGCCTCTAGGGCATGAATAGCCACCAATTTCTGTACATTTTGTAAATTTTTCTTTGACCATATCTCTTGGTTTCAAACATGAATACTGGCCTGGCAACACTGAGTCAGAAACTGTCTTGGGTTCTATATACTCAAAACAAAAGCTGTACAGATCATCTTTGCTGCAGCACTCAACTACATCATTCTCTTTAATTGTTTCCATCATAATTTCATCATTTTGAGCCACAAATTCTGCTGTGGTACAAATCCCATATCTAATATGTGCCATATGCAGGCAATAGTTCCACTCGTGTGCGTTTCTGATTTCACAACTATTTATAAATGTCACAATATCACCTTTTTCCAGACCTCTGACATCTTTCAATGGTGAATCATGAGTGAAATCTGAAATCCTTACACCAAGACCAGTTTCATATGCTATGTTGAACAAAATTGGTGCTGAAAAAAATAGTAATAAAGCAACAAATGCTGCAGTAATATTGTGCCATATACCTGCACAATATATCTTCAGTCTTTTAGTTATAGTCAGGCTATTCAAATGTTCTACATTTAACTGAACAAATGCTATTGGTATCATGGTAAACACATATACTCCTACAGATATAATTTGCACATCTTCTTGAGCAGCAGCCAATGCATGTCCTAGTTCATGTAAAACAGTACTAAAACCTATAGCTAATAAATACACCCCAAAGTCTGATGCTGGAATATTCACACCGGGTAACATTGCCTTAACTTCTGGCACATTACTGATTTGTATAGTCTGAGAAACATGTTGCAATATGAATGAAAATAGTGTCCAAACAGCAAATGGAAGGAATAGCCAGACTGTGACTACATAGCCACATGTGTACCATTTCCGCAGTACGCGGTTCAAGTTTTTACTCCATCTGTACAGAAACCTGTTGAAAGCGCATGTTGTCCAAGTAAAATTAAAAATCCCGACTTTCAATCCGGTTCCTTCCAGAAACGCGTAATAAGGATAGTGCATACAACTCTGAAATACATAGCCAGTGATTAGTTCAAACACAATAACAGAATGCTATTTTATTCTACAATAGTGCATCAAGTACCTTGAAAAATGAGTCGAAAAACCATATTACAACGTAAAATGCTAATATAAACGAACAAAGCAACGTGAAAGACATTGTGCAAGTTGTTCAGAGCTTCCCAGCAAAATAATTTCTGTAAGATTATCCATACAAATTATAATATAAAGAAAAACCGGCACAAATCCACTTTGAAACTGAAAGTTTTGCGGTTAATTCTGCGAAATCTGCGAATCAATCAATGACAATTTCTATTTCATACAGTGACAACTGACAGAAGATCAAAAACAACATTTGCTAGTTTTTTTTCAAAACTTGATATTACTGATATCATTTAATGTTAAAAATGTAAGCATTTTTCATTCCCAAACAGTATGTAAACCGGTATGATCAATTTTATGCAAAATTAAACCAAGAATTTTATAGTTATCCTACCAAATTGCTTATATGTTTGCTTTATGTGTCTATACAACAATAAGATAAAAATAGTGAAAACACAAATTAATAAATTAAACTAACTAAACGCCAATAATTTAAATATATGCTAGCATTATTATAATTATAGTATAATATATATTATATTTGAAATTTATTATATTTGAAATTTATTTAATGGAAATTTATTTTTTATGGTCTTTTGTCTTGCTAAACCATGTTAAAATAAATGATGATTTGAAGTAAGCGGTTGTTTTCATTAGTCCCACTCGTTCTGTTTGGGAATTGAACTCACAATCTCTGGTTCCGGCTAAGAAAATTCCACAAAATAAAACACTTTTTAATAAATAGCAAAACGGCTCTCGCTCTCGAAAATAACTCTCTTTGTCTGTAAATTCAGCATGAAGATAATTTGATTCTACTTCCTGAAGAATCAAAGTAACTCCATGCCGTAGTACATAGGCTATTTTTTCTCGTGATAACCGACATTCACGAGCGGAGCTTTGGGCTAAAGGTAGTATTGGTAGTAGTGGTATAGTATAGTATTATACCACATATTATATCTATGTCATAACTAAACAGCTACAGTATAATAATCACCTAGGAGTAGGTGCTCTTTTTTTAAATCGAAGAATCCTCATCTTTTATGACGACGTCTGAGTTGAATTCTACAAGACCTTTTCATGTCCTTTGAAAATAAAAAAATCTGTGGATTGAATTCCTGTTTTTATTTAAACAAAAGAAATATGATGTCTTGTGCTTGTGCTTTTCACTTAATTTCATTTAAGTAAATTACATCTAATTTTTAACTGTGGCCCAAAGAGACAACCCGACCTGGCATGGCAACATTTCCACAAGGATACTGAATACAGTGTACAGACGATACGATGCAGTATAAAAATTATTTTGACATTTGTGGACATTCATCAGTCGTGTGTGTTTATCTTCAATAATTGTTCGAAGTAAAACAATATTGTGACAATTTATAAAATATTTTAACATGTAAGTGATGAGTTGTACGGAAAATGAAAGCGGACCTTTTGTGGTGTTCTTCTTACCAGCGGTCGTTGGGTGCCTGACCATACTCCTGGCACGTCGCTGGGCGAACTCCCCAGTGAGCAATACTTCGTCTACGGCCGTCTCCAGACGGCGAAAGATTATTAAAGACCCGCTTATCAAGCGGCCTCTGCCGCCGATAGCTTATAAAATGATGCCACCTGGATCTAAAAAAGCTACTGGAGTTAATAAAAAGGTATTATCAACTACTTTCACTTTACGTATTACATTAGTTTAAAAAATCATAATTTAGATAATTTTATTTTAAACTAAAAATTTAAAAAGAAATCGACATTTAAAAGTGGTTAAGGTCATGTGATGGTCAAGGACTAGAAATGGCTTAAATTGTTATAATATTATATAGTCTAATAATATATAGTCTTGTATTAAGATATTTGTTTAATATTATTAAAGCATTCCACTTTTCCGTCTTATCATTAATAAATTTGTATTTTTTGCAGGGAGCATTCCCAGCTCCAGAGGAAGAGATGAATGGTGGTGGAAAACGGGTGGGACGCATCACACGTCTAGCATCTACTCCTCTACCTTCAGTAAATCTCTCTGACATTAAGTTAGCAGATGGGCCTATTGCCCCCAAACACATCCCGTTTCCTTATATACCACAAGATGGAACTCTTTTGTTCGAAGCTATGTCGTTTGTCTTTACTTTAATTGCTACTGGACTGCAGTTTCTTAATTTGTATAGAACAGCTTGGTGGTTGCCACATTCATATACAAATCAAGCTATGGTAAGTACTCTAGAGCATTTTTTAAAATGTTTAAGTAGTACTCTGAAGTTTGTTATGTACTATACAAAGTTGTTTCAACTTAAAAAGTATGAAACATCAAACGGTACTACAATATGTATGTGTCAAGTAAAGGGTTATATGTACCTATTAGACATGGAAATGGTCTAATTTTAAATCATATTCATATGATGAAATGATAAGTTTTAGTCTCAGCAATTTCACCTGTTATTGTGAATTGGTCATAGTCAAAGATAAATTTCATTAAAATCAAGCAAAATTCTAGCGCTAATGTAAAAAAAATGTTGCAGTGGTTTTGTAAATTAATCACAGGTGTGATTATATTATTTCTAAATCATATCGTTTATCACAGGTGATTGTGAAATTTTTCCATCCCTAGTACCTATTAAGAATAATTAAAAACCTATTGCCTTAAATACTCATTAAAAAATATTTCCTAATATAAAATATCTATGCTAATATTATAAAGCTGAAGAGTTAGTTTTGGTTGATCGTCTTAAGAAGTAGTGATTCGAATTTAAAAATTTATTCCTTATGAGAGATGCAGAGGAATTTGCTGACAATTTTTTATAATAAATTTTGCGGTAAAAGAATCAGCAAATTTTATTTTATTACACAAGTAAATTATGAATTTTCAGAACTTCTACTTGATAGACCCTCATCTAGTGGCATTCATAGTGACGATAATATTCAGGAAACTTCTACTAAGTATTGGTTTGGTTGTGCTGAGAGCTGTTCTTGCACCCAAGATGATGCCTCACGCTACGGTTGCTGCCAGGTATGCAGTTATAGCTTTATGCACTTAAATTGCTGGTTCACCATGGTTAGCATTGTTACTTAGCAAGAAGATTAAATGTTATATGTACAGGATACTATGGTCTTAGTAGTAATTAACATTTTCACCCAACTACACCAGACACCTAAGGGACCGTTCTTGAGTCAAACAGAAATGCAGAAACCAGAGCCCATCACTGACTACACCAGAAGTTATTTCTTGGGCATTCTTTCTAGCCTAAACAACTTGATGTAATTTGAAATTCTAGTTGTCGTTAGTTTCGTCTTAATTGTGAGAGCGACATCGGGTATAATAATCGCCGTTTTGTAAATTTCGAGTATTTTCACACTGTCAAGTTTTATTTTCTAACATTTATCTTGTAATAGCTTTATTTGTAACTATATCTTGGAAGTGAATTTTGACTCTTAGTTGATAATATAAACTTTAACATGTAGACCAGGGTTTCCCCTTTATTAATTAGTCTAAATCGGTTACTCAGGGGTCGACATAAACGAAAACTGATTTTGGTCTAAAAATCGACCACTATTAATTAACACCAATTCTTATTTAAAACTAAAATTGTATTAGTTGTATTACGTGTACCAACTTGTTATAAGAATCACTAATAACTTAGTAGGAAGTACCATTGTTGCACTTTTAAAAAACTCTGTAAGTCGAAAAGCGTGCAGTAATTTGGCTATGGGGTCTGAGATATCAGTTCATTTTATAAAAGGAGGTGTTAACTTACAATATGCATTTGGATGACTTAAAATTTAATGTTATACAATTACAGTTATAAAGCCATAAGTCTTTTGTGTGCTAAACCTACCTTAAAGAGCTCTTTTCTCTAGGAAACCCAACATGTATTGTATACTATAAGATCACCTACAAGGCTTTTTGTTCTTTCCATAATGTCTGGGTTAGGATAGGTTTTATATCCCCAAAACTCTACGTCAAAGAGCCCATATTTTGTAATCCCTGTATGTCGCGACCTTGGGGAGTTAAGGTACTAAGCCCCCTGGCAATCTTGTTGCTGATTCCTCTACCTCCATCCAAGCTCTGCATAGCGGGCTATCTGTTGCACCCACAGCGGATAAGTGTGTTAAAGTTTTTTTAATTCTTTTCCAGAATGTTTGTGCTGGGTTTGGTTCTTGGAGCTCTTGCTTGGTGTACATACTTCATTGTTCTCAAATATCCTGTAATGAAGATATTCTATTTGTGCTATCCGTAAGTATAAAATTAACAATATTCTTACAAGTATTTATTTGTGCTTTTTCTAAGTTTAATTGCTAAAATTGAAAGGGCTTTGCGTCAAAAGTTAATCACTAAAATATTGTTAATAAGGTAAGTGAACTTGCTATGTCTTGATAACAAAGTAACTAAAGCTGTGACGCTACCGCAAACCACAGAGCGATTGTAATATTTTATCAAGTTATGTAGGCGTGTGAGGTAGGTCACTTTACACTAATTATGACTCACTTTTATTACACTAGATTTTTTTTTCGTAAAGCCTTAATTATGAGTATTTTCGAAATAAAAGTAACCTAAGTTGCTCCATATAAATATAGTTAATGAAAATCTCGTGGAACAGCCGTTCTGGGGACCCGGCGCTTGGTTGGGACCTGGTTCCCCGCCTACTGGTACCCGAGATGGTGTGCGGTTTTTAGTAACAACCAACTACCCACGGTGGTATCCGAGGGCATTGCCGCACGGATAAAAAGTACTGTTTCCCATTACCAGCCAACCAATTAATCACTCCTAACTGACGTATGCTAGAATTTATATAAATATTAAAACGCTGAACTGGCTCCTTTATTATTAGAAATTTCCAATACCTAAACCTATATAAAAACTTTCTTTTTCAGAGCAGTAATATACTTCCTTCTCTTCGGTTTCCAGTCCAGTCCCTTCCTAGAACTGAACAACAGTGAGCCACCGCTGCACTGTTGCTCTCATGACGCTGCCCAAGTCAGGGCAGAGGTGGACGCGCTCCGGCAAGACTTTAACGTTCGCATGAAGAAAATCATATTCAATTCTGTAGTTGGAGCATACTACTCAAGTTTTATACCGTGTTGTTTTGCACAGGTGAGTTTAACATGTTCTATTTACTTATTGTTTATGTGCGTGGTACATTAAGAATGTTTGTGTATGTGTGTCTTTGTATGTGTCTCTGTCTTTGTGTATGTAGATGAAGGAAAGACAAACTTAAAAAGAAAGATATCTAGATAGCTAACATCACCATAGTCCAGGATGAGAAAGAGAAGATATTGTGAGTCTTCGCCAAAATAATTTACGACTGACCTCACAAATCTGGGGGGCCCAGGACAAGAACTTGTCCATATAGATTCCCAAGTTATTGACTTTGTCGCTATATGGAATAATGGACCCATAGCAATAGATAGCTGGCAGTTGTTGTCTATTCACCGTGGAGGTTATTCTAGAACTAACTAATATAATTACATGAGTTTTAGATGGATTTACTCTTATGTACTCCCCCACGGTAACATTTTTTTTTTATTTTTTTTTTTATTTTTTTAAAAAGACAACTCCCGCATTAGAAATATATCCTGTGTCGCGGGGGACTTTACAAACATACATGAAACGGACACAAAGAACACCCAGACTCAGAACAACAATTAGTGGATCACACAAAGTGTCGTCCCATGTGGGGTTTGAACCCACAACACGCCGAGTGTTGAAGTAGGAAGCGGCGTGGCGACCGCTTAAACCACTACGCCATCCGTGCAGCCGATATTCTGGAGTCATGCTGTGCAAATGGGCTGGTTCGACTAGAGTGATACCAAAGCCTCACAGAAAACTGGTGTTAAGTAATTCTTTCATTGCTTTTCATCAAGTGAGTGAGGTTACTCGAGACGCAACTTCCCCGCCCCCTTTATTACGCTCAAAACTTGGCAACAGACTTGTGCCATTTGAGTATTAGGTCTCCATGGGCAGCGGTAGTCATATACTATCAGGTGACCCGTTTGCTCGTTGTTTTCATTATTATTTTTTATGTTAGAGGGGGCAGACGAGCAGACTAAGGAAAGTGACCATCGCCGCCCATGAACGTCTGAAACTCAGGAGTCACAAACGCGTTGCCGGTTGTCAGCGTTTGCTCATAACTTTAGCGAATACATTGCTTTTGCCACTTATCCTCGATTCTGTGGGCAGGGTCATCGTGTCTGTTCTTAGCACCCACTTTTAATCTCGAAGGGATATAACACCAGCTTCTGCTAACAGTGTATGTACAATAGGTTGAATGTTTGGTTTGTCGACAGCCGTACCTGTACTACGACGTGTACGCGGCGTCACAGCAGACCGCGTTCGTGTGGGCGGGGCTGTTCGCGCGGCACGTGGCGCAGCTCGTGGGCGCGCCCTACTGCGACGTGCCGCACCGCGCCGCTCTGCACCTCGGCCGCTGGCGCCGCGACGCCGCCAGCTCAGGTAACCCTCGCCACCTGACTAATCTAACACTTGCCGGACCAACTTGAAACTGTTTTATCAGATGGTCTAGGTTAAGTTTATAGGTACATTGTATAATCTCTTCTTTACAGATAGTTGCGAGGCCGTTCCTTGGTGCCCAGAGCGGGTGTGGTCCTTCGGCTCTAAAGTGACGTTAGACTCTCGTACTTATATCGCAGTATCTCCCGCCGTCGCGGCGAACCCCGCCTCGGTAGCACACTCGCGATTCTATGTGAGTAACAATTTTGTCACTTTGTTACGTCCATACCAAAGTATTCATATCTCACACTAGGAGTAAGTTATACTAGGACTCAACGGGGGCTCTATCAAAGGATGAAGTAACCAGCACCAGATGTCATTCAGAACGCTTTACACTTTGAAATAGACAGACGACAGACCCTGTCAGGGCAAAATCTATTCGAGAATGCCTGGATATGCATGTGTTTATGTTAATAACGATAATAAGTTATCATACTACATCTAATTCTGTTTGTTCACAGACGGTGTTCGTAAATCCATCGCTGTTATTGTGTGGAATGCTATGTCTTCAACTTTCCCTGATAGTGCTTCAACTGTGTTTACTGTTTAGTTCAATACAGTGGCACAACTTCATGTCAATAGTTATACTACTATTCATCAATTACTACACACTATTCAAGATGGTGCGGGACTATCTCGTAGCGTGGAAAGTCTACAAAGCAGAAAATATGCTACAAGACAAAAATGGCCCAGTACAATCTGTTGCTAATTGATGTTTTAGTTGTTAAGTTAAAAGTCTCCCGCGCACAAAATTTTGTCTTCTAAAGCTACCGATGCACAGGCTTCATGATAATTGTAGTGTGTTTAAAAAGTGCTAAAATATTGGCTGGATTATTTTTTAATTTTTTTTTAAAACTATGTCAGTATTGATTTTGTATTCCAAATTCAAATTGATGTAAAGATAATAATTTGAATATTCGTACTTTTTTAAACATACATTCCAATTTACGTAGTGTTGTATGTTATTACGAAGCTTGGTGCATCAAAAACTGTATTCTGCGGAATATTTTATTGTTGTGTCAATTGTACTTAAAGTCTGTTTAGAATTGCGCTCATTTACTTTAAGGATTTGGTTTTTGAACAAAGTAACACAGTTACATTACATTGAATGTGAAATTAAATAAGACTGTTTTATTTTACATTCATATACACAATACATTGTATATGTCAAAATTGACTCCATATTTTGAAATTTGACACAATGTTGCTAACTGAACAATTACATATTACTTGCCATAATGAAAAGTTTTATTTTTAGTTTATTTGCTATTAACTAATCCCCAGCAATCTCATTTCGTCATATTCTAGTCAATGGACGTGAATGTAAGTAAATTATAAAAATAAAAACTTGAATTAAACAGGTTATATATTTTTATTTTAGTGATATAGTCAACAGAAAGAGAAGGAAGATTACACAGAAGTGAACACATTTGTGTGGATATAGAAATAGTTATGATATTATTTACTATTAAATACAATATCTACAAAGCTATTTTATTATTACCGTAATCTTTTGCTCTTAATAGATTTATTCATGATTTTGGCAATGGGCTTTGCTTCCACACACTTTTCAACTATTACCTTGTAATGTTTTCAAATACCGCAATAAATTTATAATAGTACTTAGTATCTTAACCTATGGGAACCTTTACTAGTTAGCCCTATCGGTTTGACCATCCATCCGTCTGCAACCTAACATAGAGACTGTTAGTACAAGAATATTTAAAATTGAGAAATCGTGATAGTGTTTTTTTTTGTATTATGTAAGAGAGGGCAGACGAGCGGACCGGTCACCTGATGGAAAGTGACCATTGCCACCCATGAACTTCTGCAACTCAGGAGTCACAAACGCGTTGACGGCCTTTTAGGAAGGAGTACGCTCTTTCGAGTCGTATCGATCCGGAAATACCGCGGACGATAACCCGTTCCACAGATTGGTTGTGCGGGGAAAAAAGTGTCTCGAAAAGCGCACAGTAGTGGAGCTATCCAGGTGATGAGGATGAAAATTTTGCCGTGTGGAACGATGGCGGAAAGTTGCGGCTGGTATTAGTCCGAACAATTCCTCAGAGCACTCTCCATGATATATGCGATAGAAAATGCAGAGTGAAGCTACATCTCTACATAACGCCAAGGGATTGAACCAATCAGAGATGTTTGGTTACATATAGTCTAAATAAGAAGTAAAGTATGAAGGCAAAGTAATTACTTACAGTTTAAGAATAATAGTACCAACTTAAATGAGACCTTAACTTAAAAAAAAAGATGTACAATATGAAATCCTAAAAAAAAAGGTAGGTAGTATAATTCTTTAATCTCTACAATTTTTTTCATCATGATCCTAGAGGCTAAAAAATGTAAAGTTTATTTGATTTGATATAAGCTATTATTATACAGCAGATTTTTACACCTACACAGCAGGCATAAAAATTTGAATATTATTGTATACTAATTCATGGGCTGCGAAAAACAAAGTTCAAAGCATACCTACATATATTAAAACTTAAAACTATTTGGTAGATACCCAAGAAGAAACTTTTTGGCTATCATTTATATGTATTTTATTTTTCTTCAGTTTATCTCTTACAACATCACATGCCTGTAGCATATCTTTATCTTTCCTTTTTAAGGCGTTCAACCTCACACTCTGTCTAAATTCTACTAAAGTATCTATTATTGTATTTGAAATAATGCTCTCTTCACAGTCTTGTAATTTCAAACCCAATCTGGTTAAAACGCTAGTAATATATTCAGCTATTAACACTATAGGTACTGGGTAGTATTCATTACTGTTTAACTTAATAATTCTATTTGCGTTGCTAACTAAAGTTAAGAGATTATTAATGCAAGTTGCAGTGTCAAAATCTGATTTTAATGCCTCCAAATTAGCCTCTTCAATTTTCTGCAAATCATCAATTATTTTTTTCTTGTAATCTCTAATTCCTGGTGCACTGCTATTCACATAAACGGAAGCATCTTTCAGGAAAAATTTAAACTTGTTCAAGACTTCTTCAGCAGTTTTCATCATCTCATCACTATATTCCATTGTGTATCTATAGTTTGAAGTTAAACAAGCCATCCGGAATACATCAGCACTATACTTTTCTAAAATACTTGGTATTGAAATAGTGTTCTGAAGAGATTTAGACATTTTAACATCTCCTTTCACATGCAAGTGGCCAACATGGATCCAATAGTTGGCCCACTGCCTTGTGTTGTGAAAAGCACAAGATTGTGCCTCTTCATTTTCATGATGAGGAAATTGCAGATCTATACCACCCGCATGGAAGTCTAATTGAGACCCAAAAAGTTTGCTGACCATAGCTGAGCACTCTATATGCCATCCAGGTCTGCCTGTGCTCCAAGCAACATCCCAAGAAGGTTCTCCAGGCTTTTTAGCCTTCCATAAAGCAAAATCCATTTTATGTCTTTTTTCTTCATTTGATGCTTCTCCTTCTTTTTGAACTTTTTGAAGCTTACCATATGTCGGGAATTTAGAAGTGTCAAAGTATACTGAACCATCAAAAGTAACATAGGCCATCTCAGAATCTACCAATTTCTGAATAAAATTCTCAATGGTTCCAATATGTTCCGATACTCGCGTAATTATCAGAGGTTTCTCAATATTTAACGATGACATGTCCAGCCAAAATTCATTTTCATACTGCTTAGCGACATTCGTGAAGGGCGTTTTAGTTTCAATTGATTTCTTGATAATTTTGTCGTCAATATCCGTGATGCCCATGGCAGTCACAAGTTTGATATTGAAGAAAGATTTCAGAATACGTTGAATAATATCCAACTTAACGTAGCAACTCGCGTGGCCGACATGAGCCGAGTCGTACACCGTAGGACCGCACGAGTACCAGGTGGCAATGTGCGGATCACTTAATATTACTGGAACTTTTCCATTCGCAACACAATTGTAAATATAAGCACCGGTTGGATTTCCATTCGGCATTAACCATTTCGTTTCTTTGTAGGGTTTTAAACTACATACGTGAGATAAGCGTCTTGATATCACAGGAAATAACTTATTCATATTTTATGAAACTGTATTATGAATGAATTAATGAAGTGTTTTGCGGGAAAATGGCACTGCGAACTCAAAGCAGCTGATAACATAACAGACAATTAACTTGACTAGGACTTGACGGAGTTGACTTGACAGGTGAGTTATGTCAATATGATCAATCTGATTTTGTGTTTCCTATAATAATTTAATTGTGTATTGAAACTTTACGATAATATCAATACGTCTTTGTTGTAAAAAAAAAAAATATTTTACAACAAAGACGTATTACTTCCTAAAGCGACTACTTTGATGAAATATTATTGAACAGCTTTCGATGTAAATATTTAATTAAAACTATCGTCATGCCGCTGCTATTTCATCTGTTACACTTGTCATGTCATAGTTGTCAATTGTCACTATTTTACATTTATCAACAAATATTTTGCTTCAGTATTAGATAGGTATTTTGTGATTACTATTCCTGATCTCGTATTAAAAAAAATGGTTACATTTGCACCGGATGAAATCGGTTTAGCTGATAAATCGCCATGTGCTGGTATCAGAGCCGATCTCAAAATGTGTTTACTAGCCAGTGATTGCTGTAAAAAGGTTAGATTTTAGACATGATCATAATTAAGCATTCTAAAATCATTTTATTTATTTACTTTTACCTGTATTAGAATAATTTCAATTACTGAGTCTCTGTACTTTTACAGGTTTCTCAGGTTAATTAATTAAAGTTCTGCACTTGTTTAAAAAAACATTTTTTTTAGCTAGTTGGATGCATTGAATATTTAAGTTTTTTTTTGTGTATGCAGTTGTGTGAGTGAGGGCCTCCAGGAATGCCAAGCATACTATCACATGTAATTGTCAATAAATATTGCATTCTGGTTTACTAGTAGTAAATCTATCTGGTTCACATCATCACATCAACAGCCTTTAATAGTCCACTGCTGGACATAGGCCTCTCCTTAGAAAGGAGGTTTGGGCCTACTATACCACGCTGGCCAGACGGGTAATAATACGGGTAATCGGGTAATCTAATCTGGTTATTAGTTGTTATTTGATTACATTTTATTATATTAATAATTATAAAGACAGGCAGGCAGTTGAAGCAACTGATAAGAGCCTGTATCCAGGGAGATTACTATTAGTTGTCCTTTTTGGATTTATTTACATATCCGTTGAGTCCATTTTTAAATTGGTTCACATATATATGTATATTATTAATTACATTTTCAGGAAAAGAAAAGTCCCAGAGATTGTCTTAAGGCACATACAGTACCGGATGAATGTTTACAACTCCGACAAACATTCTTTGAATGTAAAAGATCACTTGTAAGTCACATATTTATATAATCATGTATTTATCCCTGAAGATTTAGACACAAGCACATTAAAACCCCATTTTGCCAGCTATAATTTTTCAGGCTCAATTATATTATTAAAGGTAAGCCAAATCAACAGGGCACATATATTTCTAAATAAACATATTTATACATGTTTTTTTTGGTATGTATCCTAATTATGGTGTGCAATAAAGAGTACCTATCTATCTATCTCATCACACAATCAAATTGAAAAAATCTCAAATTCTTATCTCAAATTAAAAAAAATTATAAAATTAGTCAAATTCTGTGTTTTCTCTTGCACCTACCGCATCATTTTTCTACATCACCTGAAGCACGACTGGCAGAGAATGCCCTGGGCATTAAATCTGCCTGTGTACAACTTGTGCATTAAGTTATATAAATAAATATGTGTAATGGGTAAGAAACAAACTCATAACTGGCTTAGCATTCAGCCTATGTTCTTGAAACATGTTTATCTTTAGTAGTTCAGTGCAATGTATGTTTATTTTACTAATTAATTCAGTATTTGTTTTTTTTTTAAATATTGATTATTTAATTTACTAGGTGTTCCTTTCAGTTTCATCCCCACATTCACATTGATGGCCACGGTTCCTCTACTAAGGGTTGTTATGTTAAATAGCCTATGAGCTTTTCAATAAATACTCTATTCAGTACAAACAGAAATTTCAAATCTGAATTCAAGAGATTACACAACTCTACTACTACAGTATTTTTCTGATTATAAATGTAATTACTACCTACATCTGGGTACATATATATATCTTGAGGTAGATTTTGGAAAATTTTATGTAGAAAGTCCTGCAAACAGCACTGCAAAGAGAATGAAAACTTGAAACAAAACCTATACCAACTCCTGCCTGGCCAAACCCCTTTTCTAAAGAGAGACCTATGTCCGGCAGTGGACTAGTAAAGGTTGTTGATGATGATGTAGAAAGTACAGATAAGTATTATAATAATAAACCCAACCCAACTTCAACATTTGATGAATTGTGTTGTGGTAGAGTGTAAACACAATTTCGCTTATGTCAAGTATTTGAAAGACATTTGTCTTAATTAAAATCAATCTTCTCAACCTGTCATTATCACTATTGTTTGTGACTTTTGAAGAGTTTATTTACTAATTTAATTTTTTTCCAGCTTGATACACGGAGAAGGTTTCGAGGTCATAAGGGATACTAAATTATTAACTAAATTTGACTAATGTTAGAGTAGTTCCTAATTTTGTTTCATGTACAAAGTACTTATTAAAATACTGTTAATAAAATGTTTTTGTTAAAAAAGAAATCATACCTATATTTTATTTCCTGAAGCTTACTGCATTAATATAATATCTCAACTCAATGATTATATCCTACAAAGCAAGGAATTCTCTTCGAGATTAACTGCAAGAGCTGTGCGGCGCGGCTCTCATTAAAGTCAAGTGATTGCCGGTAGCAGTAGTATAGCTCTTAAATAAATACATTTGATTTGACAATAGGGTAGTTGACTATATCATAAATAAAAAACAATGGCTGCTTTATTAAAACAAATATCACAAAACTAACTATTACGAATTTAAATCAAATGAACATTAAAATAAATTCTTCAAATGAGTAGTCTAAAATAGTGACGTCATAAATGTTATTTAGTACAAAAATAGTGCTATTTTCATTGAGTTAAAACAACACTAGAGAAGCAAACCTCATTATCACACGTCGAAAAAAGTGTAACCACTTTTGAACTTTGACGACGTAGCTTTGATACCACTAAACATTTGAAAGTAAACATATTTATGTCTCATTTACACGCGAGACAAGAACAATACCATCGCTCGGATTAGACAAAGACAAAGATATAACTTTACGATGGTGGGCCAGTGTTGACTACCGTATGAAATTTTACCCATAACAACTAAGAAACATTTTTTTTTTTAAACAATTTTGTAATAAAATAAATTAATTTAAATATTCTAAATAATATATTTCGAATTGAATAGAATAGGTATAAATAATAAAATAACTGGAAATATTTGGTTAAAAGGGTTTATATTCAGTGTAAAATCAAACTGCGCTGTGAAGCATCAGTTTTGTATACAATTGTCTTTTAGACTCTTTTTATAAGTTTGTGTGGATATTTTACTTTCATGATACAATTTTATTTTTACGTATGTAAAAATAATAGCATTTAATTATAAAAGTGAATGATCAACTTGTACTGATAATAAATAATCCCCAGGGTGTATTGCAAATTCTATTATAATTTAAAAAACAAATAAAAAAAAAAAAAAAATTATTTTATAAAAAAAATTATTTATGTTTATTTACTTTTTTATTTTATATTTTTATGATAAACATTTATTATTATTATTATTATTATTATTTTGTACAATTATTATTTAAAATTGATAATAAATTACTGCGAGCTACGCTCAACGGGTCCCTAAAAAAAGGGATCGGTCCAGCCCTAACAACTACCGTTCTTCCTATATTTTATTATTATTGGCAAAATGTTTAAAAACAGTATAAAGCATATTATTTCATAAATTATAAATTCTCCCACTAATGTGGGAAAACCAAAATGATTTTTTAATGGTAACACTGATTCTACATTACAATTATCAGTGTTTTATTTCAATTATAGCCTTATTTACGATATTATCAATACAAAAACCATAAACTTACACGTGAAACGTAATTCCGCATGATTTATTAATGTTTTGTGACCTTAAATCGCATTCTTTCACTACGCATTTAGCCATTTTGGCGATTGTTACTGTCATGTGTCGCTATGTTCAACTCGGTGATCGGAATAATGAATTGACGTTTGCTACGCATATGCCTGTGGACATATGTGCAGTAGCAACGATTTTAGGCGGTAATTACTCATCTATGTAAGTATTATATCAATGGCTATTTTATACAAAATAGTCGTTTTGACAGATGCTACATTGATGGCTGATTATAATATCATAATATATTTTAGTGGTTTTCAGTATATAAATCATATTACTATGACGATGTCCATAGATTAAAATATGTTATGAGGCATTGGTAAACGTCTACCAAACTGGCTGGTAAATGGTACCTATTTTTTTTTATGACATGACATTACGTCACGAAGTGAGAATGGGTTCCAGGATAAGTTGATGTTTAATCATCTTAGGAAAACGTAGGATGTCGTCAAAATGATTTATGAAAAAAAAAACACAAAAATTGATTTAACTTTTATTATAAAAATAGTTGAAATTTAATTTAATCCTCTATGTAATCTACAAAGAGCTTAGCCCGCAATCATAACTAGCTTTTCAAGCTAAACAGTAATTTTATAATTGTAATTATAAGTACATATTAACAAATTTCATCTTTATTGGCCATAGTAATTTAATAGTTGAGTTCAAAAATAATAGGACAAATAGTTGGATCAAAAATAATGCAACTATTTTTGACGAACAGCTATAGTTCTATTATACTCTACCAATAATTTCATAATTTATAGTTATATGAAAATGCTGGGCTTCCCTAACACAGAATTTTTGCAATTTATTTTAGAGAAAGATTGACAACCCTTTTCTCACACAACAAATGCGAAAACTTGTCACTCAGCGTTATCGTAGACTAAAAACTCTACTAATTGGGAGTAGTGATTTAAAACCTTGTGGCACTTAACGCATTATGTAATTACTAGCTATTGCTGCCGATTTTTGATTGCCGATTTTCTTAATACATTTTGCCGGGATTAAAACTACCCTATGTGCTATTCCATGCAATTTCCATGTCTGTATGTCACATAGATCCGTTCAGCTGTTTTGAAGTCTTGATTTTCAGTGTAAAAGCAGGAATAGATTTAATGAATAGTAGTATATGCTTTACATTTATCATACCTAATAGTAATTAGAGACAACAATATACACTGAAAATCTAAAAGCCAATAAACAAATTCAACCTTATATCGTCAGTACAGTAAGCACTACATAGAAGAGATTTTCTAATCGTAAACAGTAGAATCTCACGCTAAGACAGACTCTTCTTAAACCTTCATACCTACCACCGAAAATACTACTAAGTGGATTAAATGTCCGCAAAAGCAAATAGCAAAGCATAGTAAAAATAATTTTGAACACAGGGATGTATTTGGTACAGTTTGGTACCATCTAATTGTTGCGAAGAACATTAATAAATATAAATTTTGGTACCATACCTACAACCCACATTTTATTTCTTAACAACAATCTTAGTTTATGGTACAAAGTTAATTTTAAGCTTATATAAAATCTGCATTGTACAATATCTTTAATACGCTTGGGTAACTGAGAAATTTTATTACTATTATTATTGAGTAGAGTGAGAGTGATATATTTGAGTTGTAAAATAATTTATGGTTCATAATGAATTGGCCGACCTAAGAATAATAACGCCGCAAATACCATTTAAAAGGTTTATATTGGAGGCTATACCTATCACATCATCATCATCAACAGCCTAAAATAGTCCACTGCTGGACATGGCCTCTCCTTAGAAAGGAGGCTTTGGCCTACTATACTACGCTGGCCAGACGGGTTGGTAGAGTGTTTGTTTCAAGTTTCCCTTCTCTTTGCAGTGCTGTTGTCATGCGTAGTTTGCTCCCTTAGTCGGCTCTTACGACACCCACGGGATGAACAGGGGTGGTGACATTCCGTATTCTTAATCCGTCACCACACGGATACTACTACGCTATACCACGCTATACCTATAGATGATTTATATTTTTTTTTCTTGTTTTATAATAAGTAAATAGGTATCGTTTATTTTATTAAAATTAAGAATTATAATCGCACGCCTGATTTCATGTATATTAAAGTGACAGTTATACTACTAATTAAATATTTGCAAGCTTTCTTTGATTGCTAACTATAAATTGACTAGATTTAGCACCATTACAAAATTAATTAATGTGTTAGCCAGAAATTAAGAGGTTTTAACAAGTTTTAAATATTAGGTAAAATTGCTATTAATTTTAAGCATTTAAGAATAAGATATCCTTGTATGATTGTTTTATTACTAATTAGCAAGTGTCAGACTTCTTTTATTAGTCAGAAAGTCAAGACTTGTCAATGTTATTGTTAATGACTATTATGACTAAAATGCTTTATTACTAAAAGCCGAATTGCGTTTGCTTCTAGTTTTATCCGGTATCGGACTAAAATTTAGTTAAATTGTGAGTTGGTTAAATTTGTAATGTTTATTTAGAATTAAAGCAAAGGAAAACCAGTTCGATTATTTCATTTACACTAGGTTTAGCTTTTAATTTGCTAACTGAAACTAGATACAACCAATTTTTAGAGATTTAAATTAGATATAAAATAGGATACGAAATATGTACTTAATGTATTGGTAATATATTATTTATGAATATATTATGTATTCAGATTTAGAAATAAGTGCTACTTAATTATTAAGATTTCTTTTGTATAGTTGTGTAAAAATAGTTATCTAGCTGTTTTTTGTGCAATAATAGTTGCTGAAAAAAATTACGAACTACAATACCTACTAACTACATTAAATACCTATTACATATCAAAATTAAAAATATCAAACTACCTACTTATAAGACTTTTGACATGTTGTCAGTGCCGGATTAAGCCAGCACGGGGCTTGTAGCAAATTTTATCAAGGGGTCCTTTGATAGTTTTAGGTTATGTGGTTTCAGGGACGCTGCTAGCAGTTTGAGCGACCGCATGCAATGCCGATGAAGCCACCTTTTTTTCCATGCAGAAGTCGCCCTTCGGTACCTCCCACCGGACAACCGGTGGGGTGGTTATGGATTTCATTTCTGATCAAGTTCTTTGTATCCTTATTTCAATGAGTTAAGAAATCATAATACCATATACATAAACATTTACTACACTACACTACTATATACATATACAATTATACCGCGGCACATCGTAGCCTGCCGCGGGATGCCGCAGCATGTCGTGTTACTTTCAGTGTTTCATTTTCATTCTACGGATTATTATGCCACAGGATTGTGAATGAATTGTAAACACATGCAAATAAGGATCAAGACAGAAGAGAACTTGATCCGAAATAAAATCATTTACCAAGCCGTGCGTCGACGACGTCAGTCAGCCGTCCCGTCGTGTGTGATACAGTTTCCTCGCTCTGCCTCTCAAGGCGCTCTTGAGCGCCTCCCGTCGCCACCTATCGCCGACAGGCTTACGCTTATGCAGGACAAAGATCTTTCAGCGACCTCCGGCGCTTGAGCCGTCTGCGGTACCTGTTCAGTTCCCGGGTCTGGCGGGCCGGAAGAGGGTCCTAAGCCCCTTTTTGGTCCCACTTCGCCCTCTCTTCGCAAATTTTGCCCGCAGGAGTTAGCGGAATTTACGCGCGCTCGCTCCTAAAATGACCGCAATTAGTCACGAAGTCAGGCCTCTGCTCCGAACACGTTGGGCATTCTGCCATCGTGTGAAGCGTCGTGTCCATGCTCTAGCCATCGCAGTGGCGGCCTGGGTGCCAACGGTGTCACTCTTTGCAGATCAGACACATGTGATCTTCTTTGTTGGTCGTCCTGGCTGTAGGCTCCACATGCTGGCTCTGCCGCAGTAAAGGCGCTCTAGCCGGTCATCGTCGTGTTGGCAGAGCGGCTTCACGGGACCCTTTCTTTCCTATTGATGCAGATCCTTTCCTAGCATGGCTGACCTGCACTCGGTGGCCAGAAGGGAATTGAATCCAGCCCATCATCACTGCGATTACAGTGAGGACTCGGTTTATTACACGCTGGCAATTTGCCAGTGCAGGCAGTGCAAAACATGATTTCTGGTGCAACCAACGCTCACTTTTAAAAATGTACTAAAAGTTTAAATCATAGTTGGACATTTAAATGCAACTCTTTCGTGATAAAATTGTGACTATATTGATTTGAAAAAATATTTTCACACAGATAGAAATAAGTAGATATTTACTTACGGTCAGTAAGCGTTGGTGCACGGGGCCCCCGGATGCGCGGGGCCCGTACCATTAGCTTTTGTTGCTACGTAGCTGATCCGCCACTCCAAGTTGTGTAAGTACACGCCGACGTACCACAGCCCTAATTAGATATAGAGTGGGGTTTCATGATACATATAGATACTATTATTAATTCGTTGTCGTTATTCCTTGTCTAGTTATAATAAAAAAATGGGTGTATCTAGTTATATATAGTGTGATTAAAGCTACACCTAGTTTTTAGTACAATGTAAACAAAAATAATTAATTTCAACATATTAAAGCTTATTCCATTTGATAGTGAACGCACCTAGGCGTAACCGGTTATAACTCGATCTAGCCGCGCTTACTAACGCTATAATATATCTAACATCTTTTATGCATTTTTTTAAATACTCTGAATTATAATCTATTTAATATAATCATAACTTTTAATAAATTCTCTACCATGAATCGCATATCTAAGTGTACCTATTGATTTTTTTATGAACCAGTAAACGTAGGTATTCTATTTGTGCATATTTTTTTGACGTGTAATAGTGTAAGTAGGTAGGAGTAAAAAAAACTTTTCTATAGGCGGTATACCACGAACAATAAAAAACCTATGTAACATTTTGGTTTAAAAACCTATGTAACATTTTGGTTTAAAAACCTATGTAACATTTTGGTAGTAAACCAAAATGTTACATAGGTTTTTTATTGTTCATGGTATACCGCCTTCAGAAAAGTGTTTTTTTTAGATATGATAGAAAGTATTTTTTTCTCCGAGCCTTTTTCCTAAACTAGGTTGGGTCGGCCTTAAGTCTACTACGATGCGTCTGAACTTCGATATTTTTCACGTAGCGCCTGCCATCAGATATCCACAACCCAAGTAGGTACCAAGTGATATCGAAGTTCTGTAGAAAGACTATTGTCGGACTGTTTAGGGCTTCAAATATCCGTAACTATAACCACAGATGTTCGTATGGCAACCGGGACCGACGCCGACGGCTTGCTCTTCGAGACACGGAGGGGTCTCAGTGACTTAAGAATGGTCACCCATCCATCGTGTGCCCTGGCAGAATTGAAGATACCTTAAGGATGTCCGAAAACTTAGCAACATCCTTAATGGAACCAAATTTACGGAACCCGAAAAAAGCATAATATTAGGAAAAACTGAGCAGAGAAAAGTCGAAGAGATAGATCTCTTTTTTAATAGTTTTAGTTTTATATATAGTTTTCGTTTGTATCTGTCTATATAATTTATATGTACTTATATATTATTTATTCATAAACCAATGTTATAGAGATTCGAAACAGTTTATTTAATTAAGATTTTGGTGTAATTAAACTTAAAAGTTATCTTTTAAGCTTTGAAAATTGGACAGACAGGATAGATAGATAAATAATACTGTAATAGCATCTAGATATGTTTAAAAATGTTAAGTTGGTTTGTGTACGCTTCAGAAACTCTAAAAGTTCTGCACGGATCCCCTGAGGCCCAAGTGCGATTGCGAAATCTCCACCAATCGCAACGCTAAACGCGCTCGCTGCCGAGAGAGAGTCGATGTGAAATATACTTGCACTCAGCTCTCTGATGTAAATTGACTACCCGCGCCCATAAACGCCTGTAACTCAGAAGACAAAAACGCGTTGCTGGCCCATGAGGTAGGAGTACGCTCTTTTATTAAAGGCTTGAGGGTCGTCTCGGTTAGGAAATACTGTAGGCGACAATTGATTAAACCACACGATTGATGATGTTGATATCTGTCCTATTGATTTTCAGAACGTCGTCGTAAGCTTAACTCCATGATCAAGGGCTCCTGTTCGTTTTTATACTAGTCGAGTATTATCGCAATTATAGTTTTCGGTCTAACAATGTAACATACCATTTTGTGCAGCCCTACTTCTAACGATTCGTTTATCATAACGTAATGCTATTTTTGTGAGCATAATTTTATTATTCTATTACTAAGAAGAGTTATGTAGGACAGCGAATGTGTACGTATGTATGTACAACTACAACTTTGAATTAAACACCTATTAAGCAGATTTGTGATATGTATTAAGAGATATGTTAGAAAAGTCCGCAATGAAGAAAAACGACAAAATTGAGAATAAGTAAGAAGTGCGTTAAGGGTGAGCCATGGGAGCCAACGTTATGAACAAATGCTCACGAGTACCAGAAATACATATTAAGAGAACGTGGATAATTATCGTCCAAATCGAAGTCGGTCCAAAGTAAGAACATCATTTGACACGTAAGTCTTAATAATGTTTTAAGCAATGTGAAATTCACAATGTATTATCATTTTTAAGAAACAAACCCGTTATGGTTTCATATACTTAAAACAGTTTTACATTGAGTATTATTCTTATATTGAGTAATAAATTTAATGGTAATGAGAGTACACAATGAACTACCTTACTTGCACGAATATAGTTAACGTATTGCACGGAAATATTTGGTAAATTTCAAAATACCCGCTTTTTATTGTCGTACCTCTGTCAACAACAACTTTGTATATGAAACGGTACCTTATGATGAGTAGCTTAAGGACAAATTTAGTATAATTATAAATGGTGTATAGAATTTACATTTTATAAATCCTCTGTGACAAATTAGCATAGAGTTCTGTATATGTGTAAAATATGATCATGTCCAACTACTTATTCTCAGTTCTGTGCGAAAAGCAAACCAAAACTTGCAATATAAAGCAGCATCTGTCTTTCCCAACATTTATTCTAAGATTTTGGTATTTTGGAAGACTTTATCCAGGTGTTCAGCAAAATATATTAACTCCGCTCGAGGTGTCTGTTGTATCAAATATATAATAGCTATGGTGAAAGATTTTACGAAGAAAATAGCATCTATATAATATAATCACTTCTTAAATATATTTTATTAAATACTTATATCTAATACAAGAACACATCGGCTCCACTCGCTTGTACCCAGTCATACATTGTACTCCATTTAAGACGATCTTAAATGTAAACAGTAATACTTTGGTCCGTTTTGTTCACAAATGTACTGTCCATTAATCATTTTGTCTCAAGACATCTTTAGATTACTAAAATGTTGCAAAGTAATGAACTTGCCAAGAATTACAAATTTAAGAACTATGTACTTAATTCCAGACTCGAACGTAACAAATAAAATGCAAAATAGTAATGTGAAATTTTTGTTGGTTTAATTGGTACGTCTAAACTGACTGTACTCGTTTTATTCTTTCGTTAATAAGCACTTCCCATAGATAGAGCCACGAATAGTGGATCCTTGTTTACGTTGAACAATTGTCTTTCACCACCACTAGGGTTACACCAGAAAATGTTTGGTTACGTCTAGATATGTACCAGTTTATGTGCTAGCCCAAGGTCATTGACATCATACACTGTAACTCCAGCGATCCTCTCATTTAAAGCTATGGCATGTCTAAACATGTGATAGGGATACCCAAAGAAAAGAAAGGAAGCTGGTAACCAATCTTGGCTATATAATGAAATAACATCTTAAGTTCAGTACTTAGCAACATGTCCTACCAATTCAAATCTAGAAGATGCCCGCGACTTTACAGTACGACACATTGGAGGCCATCAAGGCCCTCCTTCTACTAGAAAGTCTGTATGGCCCTGTAAAGGCCGGTGTAGCCGCACAGCCGCGCGCGGAGGGCCGTTACCAGCATGGCCGCGCCCGACAAGTCATCCATTAAGTTGGCACATTCACAAACCAGCAGGTACATCTTATCTCCGTGTACAGCCATTGATTTGTGCAGAGCTATCTTCTTCATACCCACTGTATGTGGCAAGTGCCTGTACAACATTCGAGCTCCAGTCCAGTAAAGCCAGTTTCTTTCGAAGCGCTCGCCATCGTCACCTTCAAAAACCTGGAAACGACACAGGAGTAGGTTAAATAAGAGTTGAATAATTTAATTAATTGATAAAAGATAAAAAGTTACAGAAATTAATCTGAATCATTGTTTTGAATATATATTCATTTTAATTAAGTCACAGTGTTTTTTTTGACATACAGATCTGTTCGAATTGAATTCGACTGATTACATTCATTTATAAAAAAAACATTTTTTCTAAACTATCCATGGCTTTTTCAATCGCTTTGAGTCGAAAGCAACTAACAAATTGTTTTGATTGTGTGTCTGTCACACACTAATCTCTGGAAGTTTCAGTGGAAATTGAATAATTATTTTTATATTATACTCGTACTATGCTTTAGTATATTCTTATTAGTTACAGGAAAGTTATATTCTAAGTATATAACATCACCATACAACTTTTAGAAGCCGCAACTATATAAGAAGGTAGAATGGCGGGAAAGAGCTAGTACCTACCTTATAAACACTAATGATGAAACCAGTACTTGGAGTGTGAGACTTCTTCGGCCCACCAGATAAATCGTTGAACGGAGGTCTACAGATCATTGCTACTTCACTATACAAGTCTAACGTGTGCGCTGCGGTGTATCTTATCGTCTTCGGGTCGAACTTGTTTAAGGAAGCACATCTCATGTTATTGTAGAAAAGCAGAGGATCTGTCTGCGTCGTATTTATCACATAGTAAGATATGAAAGGGAATTCTGCATTTTTCTCCATATTGGCCAACAACATACCACCAACTGCTGTGTTAGCTTGAGCGACTTCGTTTAAAAGTTCCCCTGCGACAGCCTTTTGCCTTATTAAAGGTTTGGCAAGTGGTGATTCCAATATTGGTTCTATTGGTTCCAAAGGGCTCATGAGATGGGCTAATATACATAGTTTAGGGTCAGCAATTTCAAGGATGCTAAGAGAGTTTTGTGCAGTCTTTGTTGTCATTCCTTTTTCTGGCGTTGAAGGCGGTACTGGAAGCTGGAACGTAAGAAAAAAAGATTTATAGAAGCTGCGGAACATGTCTTGCCTTGGTCTAACTGTCATCTCAAGTCAGTTAAACATCGCTATATATATATATATATATACTATGTAAATTTCGGTAGCTGGTCACTTAATTATGATAAGATATTCTGCTCCTTTCACTGACCGCAGACCTATCTTAGACATGATTAGCCAGAAATATATTTCTTACTATTTTATACCGTTCGATTTGGATTTTGCATATATATATATATATATTAATTAAATTATTATTATTAATTAAATTACTATTTGGCGTGTAATTTGAGTACAAATGTAACAAGTGGGAAAGTTACAAACCACTTAGACTTTCATGTAAAATTTTGACTTTTAACTTTAAATTATAATATAATTATATTAGGACAGAAATGGATCGGTTAAACAGCAACATATAAAATAAGTTGAAGGTTGGTACATACCGGCACACCGTCAGGCAGGAACCGATCAAGTGCGTGAGCTGGTATGACGAAGCAGTCTTTCTCTAATGTTGCCAGCGATACAGGCTCCGTGCGCCGCCTGTCCGTAGGCACCGTGGTTATCGGACCCCGGTCCCAACGCAGCAGCGACACTGAGGGATCCCTCGTCACTAAAGGCTGTGGTGGTTCCGGCTCCGGGCCTGTTCCCGCACCTAATACAGGGCCGCATCGCTCTGAAAAATAAAGCATGTCTATGGTTGGTAACTTCTTTTTTTATTTTGATAAATATGATATCCATTGTCTTCCAAAGTGCAGGCAAATATTCTGTCTAATTTTGTTTATAAATACTCCTTGGAACTTTATTTATAAATAGCACAATAAGATCTTCATCCACATATACAAAACAAAAAAAGGTTTTCACTCAAATGAATAGAAGTTGTTGTTTATACTAATTAAATAGAAGGATTTTGGTTTGTTGTGAGCACATGACACGATGTAAACAATCACATGGAAACAGATTAACTTGTTACACAATGTTAGCAACAAAACGTAAAATGTACCTCGTTTAGTTTTATACTGAGGCATTAATTGAGGCGTATTTAAAGAGTTGCGCATCCCTCTGAAGATTGGTATTAAATAAATAGCCGGTTACATCGTGCCAATTATTAATATTATACACAGTGCGTATCATTTCATAATACTTACGCGGGAAGTAACCTCGAGATGTTTGTGCTTTGCGCCAATATTATACTGGCATAAACCAGTGCGAACAAGATTAGTTTCAAACTGGAGAAATATTTATGTACACTTTTTATCTCACAAAAACTATGCACGCTACTTTGTTTACATCAAACAAACAGTAAATGAAAGTGAAGTTCTCTGTCTACGAATTTTTGTAATAGTGAACGTGTTTAGCCAACTGAAACGACAGTGTCGTGCCTGTTAGAGAATGCATCTATTTTTAGTTTCCACGGCGTGTCATGTTGTCTATGTTTTACTGAAACTACGAAGATCGTGAGAAACTACAATTATAAAACGCGTAAGTTTCGTTTATAGGCCATCAAATTCTTTAAAACTTTTACCGAAAAGTTGAAACAAAGTTAGCCGCAGTCAAATTAAAAGCTTTCCCGTACCACTTACATGGAAATATGAACATTTAACTAATATGAATTACCTGTGATGTCGTTGTATTGTGTACTGGGCCGGGCTGCCGCTGAGAAGAATATATGAGTCTTGTAATGGTGTTCCTCCATACAGGAATATCCCCGCTCCCGATCGCGGCGTTTAGCGTTCCTCCCTGCGCCTAAAGCGCCCCTCGCCTTCCCTCCACCCCCACTCGACCCGAGGGTCTTTTCCCCGCTGAAGTTCTTCCGAAACATCAAATTCATCTTGGAAAGATGCCCACTTCTTACTCTTTCGCACTAAACTCAATCTGTATATGTCCACACCGCTCTAACGTCGAGTGTAATAGTAATTAGTTAACTGTACTCCGCCAAGATTAAGCTCGGCTATATTCAGGCGTCTCCTATCCAGATGTTTGTTTTGGTTTATTTATTTCCGTTTTAAAACTTGTGTAGATTCATGGTACGATGATTAATGCGAGGTGAATAGAACAATAATGAAAAACTGTTGCATCTACGCATACTTTTAACTGTTTTGAATAGGACTGGAGTGAGAATAAGTTTCATTTCGAGTAATGTTACGAGACTTCGTAATTTAAAGATTCCGTTTATAATATCTTATGTCTGGCCGATGTCCAATTAATATATACAACGTAACAGTTGTAACAAATATTGGCTCTTAGATTTAATGTTGACCTGTTTCTCTGTTGCCCAGAAAGTCTGACATTTTCTTTTATAATCGTAATTTCCGATTTGAAAGCTTTGTAAATAATCAATTTAGAGTTTGAATTCAAATAGTAAGCCCTGATTTCATAATATTATTCTTTAATAACGTTGTGGATTGTTTTTTTTTATTCAAAGTAGATTTCACAAAAAATCATTACATTTTAATAAAAAAGAAATGTATTAGACGAATTATTTATTGAAGAAGGTCATATATTTAATACGATCCGTATATAAGGGAGAACAGCTAATATAATTTAAAGATTTTAAATTCAATACGCCTAAATTATTATGAAATATCATAAATTGTATTTTTCATTCTTTAATTTCACACCTTGGACTGGTATGTTTTCACCAAATATAATTGTCCGTATGATGACGAATTAAGAATACGGAGTGTCAGTCGTCGAGCCGACTAAGGGAATAAACTACGAGGACAACAGCACTGCAAAGAGAAGGAAAACTTGAAACAAATCCTTTTCGTGGTATAGTAGGCCAAAACCTCCTTTCAACTTAAGGCTGTTGATGTGTTGATGATGATAATAAGGACCAAAATGGAACGATACCCTCAATAGAAAAATATAACCCAAATTCTGAGGTAAACAACATAACAAAAAAATACAACCGAATACAGAAAACTTCTTTTTAAAAATAATAGAAAAATAGATAAATATGGCCAGTTACCTAAACTAGGCTATCACTTGTTGAGCTCTTAAGCTCTTTGTATAAAATATTCAGAACAGATTGCTGAACGATTTACTGAACCGCTCGCCAGTATATGTGTTCTACTTTATCCACTGCCGTATTTCGTAAGTAATTATTCGATTAGGGAGCCACCTACCTGGCGGATTATGGCTTTATTTTTTTGTTTTGCGATGGCGGAGGATTTATTTGTGTGTTCTATATTTGAATACTTAAGAACGTTGTTGTATCAACGTGAGTGTTTTTGTGCTTTATTGTTTTTTTTTCATTAAAATATGAGAAAACTCTAGTATTGAACAAGGTTTCTTCACAGCTATCTATAATTTATTTTGAGAAAAGTTTGAACTTTCTGAGTACCTTTTTTTTTTTTTTTTTTTTTTTTTCCGTGCGGAAATCCCCTCGGATACCACCTGTCGGTGGCATGTCGGACTCGAACCGACTAAAACCGCACGCCTTCGCCGGGTACTAATAGCCGGGGAACCAGGTATACCCTAGAAAGGAAGGCCCTGGTGCCTTTCTGAGTACCTGAAACCACGGCAGATACAGATAGTAGATGTAATTTTAGTATTAATATGTACTTCGTAGTTAACATCAAAGTGTAGAAGTATGTTAAACTAAACTGTTTCTGGCAACGAAAATATTTGTTGAACAGGTATCTGTGCCAAACTGACTGGACCTGCTTGAAAAATGCAATGTTCTAATTTTTTTTTCAGATGTGTAGTGACGTAATCCTCATGACGTAGCTGCTGATTATTAAGGGATGGGAGGAAGAAGTAGGATTAATCACTACACAAATTTTATGCTTTTGGTGTTAAGTCAATTAATTTTATTATTTACTTAAATAGTACACATAATCACGTTACGATAATTTTAATAATAATAGTCTATTAATATTTAGTTGACCAGTAATATTTATAAAATCAAAATCGGCGGCCATCGGAGTGAGAATTCTCTAGCTCGGTAACATGATTGCCGCCATAGTACGGAGTGAAAGTTCGTGGAACTCCACCGTCTCCTTCTGTGAGCAAGTTATGCTTGCAAAGGAGATAGCGGAGCGAGACCGGGAGAGGTTTAGAACTCTCCCGGAGCGCCAGGCGCAGCAACGAGCCAGGTACCGCAGACGACTCAGGCGCCGGAGGTCGCAGAATGACCTCCGTCCTCCATAAGCGCAGGTCTGGGGGTGGTAGGTGAGGCCATCTGTCTCCCTAGCAGAAGCAGTCTGGGGTGGTGGCTAGACGCGCTGCGGAGCGCGTGCCCCCTTTCGGGAGCACAAATGGACATAGGGGTTCCCACACAGGAGGGGGTCATTTACACGCCGAAGATGGCCCGAGGTACGTCGGGGTTTCAGTGATTTCCTTCCTAGGGTACACCTGGTTCCCCGGCAACTGGTACCCGAGACGGCGTGCGGTTTTTGGTCGGTTCAAGTCCAATATAGCCACCGGTGGGTGGTATCCGAGGGGATTTCCGCACAGAAAAAAAAGGATGGACGGGGTATCTACAGCAATGGGCGTGAACATCCCTACCGCTATTATTTATTTAACAATAAAGTTTAATATAACAACTTTTTTAGACGACTGAGTAAACCTTTTCAAACGTGTTACATTTAAAAGAAAACAATTAAAACATTTTCAAGCTAGATGCATTAATTATATATATATCACACAACTCACACACGGCCGTCTGATCCCCAACTAGGCAGAGCCTGTACTGTGGTAACCAGACTGCTGATAAACATACTTATATATTTCTAAATACATACATATTATAGATAAATTACACCCAGACACAGAACAAATGACCGTGCTCATCAGACAACATTTGTCCTGGGTGGGAATCGAACCCACGACCTCCGGTTTAGCAGTCAGGGTCACTAATCACTAGACCAACAAGCCTGTCTTATAATTTTCCATTTTGATAAAGAGTTTTAAAAAATGACACAGTACGTACCTAATTCATGTCCAAAATTCGATACGGTCTAGATATCATCGGTATTCAGGTTACACCGGTAAACTTATATCATGTTTTGCGGCGCCATATTTGCCAGTAAATATCAACTTGTCCTTTGCCTCAACAAAGTTAGTAACGCGTGACGTGACGCCGTTATTGGACAATTTCGTCGCCCTCATAAAGACTCCGGTTAGCTGAGCTAAATAATATCCTCAGCTACCTATTTTTGTTTCCCTTTCTAGCAAATAAGGCCGATATCTTCGTAGGGGGAGGCATTGGTATATTAAAGGCCTATATTTTCCCAACTTGATTTGACTGCCTCGGTGGTGCAGTGGTAGCGTATGCGACTGCTGTTCTGACGTCTCGGGTTCGATTCCCGGGCCAGTTTGTATGAAATAAATATTTGTTTCGGAGTTTGGGGTTTTTCTATGTATAATATGTATGTATTTACAAAAAAAGTATTCTGTCGAGAATCAAACCTCGATCCTCGACATCACGGTTTGCCGGTGCTTACAAGCGGCTGAACCGCTAGCAAACGGCGTGCGGCGCGGGTGACGGGGAGGCAGCGAGAAGCGGGGGCGCGGACAATTCTATCAGTCAATCTGGCTTTCATAGTAAAAGCTCTGCTTAGTTTGAAACTAGATGGCGTTGTGTGGAAGATATCCGAAATATTATTATTATAACTATAATTTGGAGTAAAAAACGTAAGCTTATCGTGATTGGCAGCATACTTTAATGGTATTGCTACAACAGGCAGTACTACTTCGGGAGTTTAAGATTCAAACAACAACTAAACAACGGCAGTTTACTTATAGAACTTGATATTGAGTGTGAGTCATATCCAACTTTTCATTGGCATATACATTTTATCTATAGCATATTTTATATGGAATCGAGCGCTAATGCACTGGAAGAACATAGCTGGAAAATACGTGAGCTGGTTTTCAGAAAAGTTGTTGCTAACAGCATGTCATCCAGTAACGGTTTTAAACTATGATATAGTAGTATCATCTTGTTTTTCTCGATTCGTTATTAACGTAATTGCATATAAAAACGTATCTCTGTAGTCGTAATGTTAAATCTTTGTAAATACTCTATAACAGTTTTTTTTATAAAAGACAACTCCCGCATTAGGAATATATCCTGTGTCGCGGGGGACTTTACAATCATACATGAGACGGACACAAAGAACACCCAGACTCAGAACAACAATTTGTGGATCACACAAAGTGTCGTCCCAAGTATGGTGATGAAGAGAAAGAGTACTTAAGAAAATATAGTGTAAACTCTGTTCTGCTAAATTTAATTTTAATTTTGAATAAACATTTTTTACAATTTCTGATTCATACAATACAATTATTTTAACAAAATGATTTATTCGTATTTATTCCCTAATAGCATTCAACTACCAATTAAGTTAGATTTATTGATAAATTTGTAAGTGCATATTCTCAGGTTCTGCATTTATTACGATACGGTATGGACTATTTGATGGTTTGGAACATTATAACCTTCTGTAAAATATTGAATAATTGAATAAGAAATCAGTTTGCTACAAAATATGTAGGCAGGTAAATATACATATATATATATATATATGTATGTATATATATATATATGTATTTGTAAATATGTATATATCAGTGTAAAAAGTATTGTCTTCATCTTTCTGCACACTTTCCAATCTTATTTGAGGTCCGCGCAATATGTAATTATTATTATTTTTTTGTTTTATGTAAGAGGAGGTAGACGAGTAGACGGGTCACCTGATGGAAAGTGACTATCGCCGCCCATGAACGTCTTCAACGTCAGTAATATTGTAAGATACGCCTGCCCGACGTCTATTTTCTTTCCATCCATTAACAGCAGTGCTATTCTCTAAGACAACAGCCTTG